TTAGCCGCATTTATTAGAAAACACCAACCGTATGTTTGTATGTGGTGAATCTAGATAACTTTGCTGATCGTATGGCCTTGAGCCGGCGACATTTCGATTGAGTTTCTGCCCTATCACCTTGATGCTAGTGTATTGTACTAGCATGGGAGTTACGGGTAACGGAGGATCAGGGTTCGATCCCGGAGAGGGAGCCTGAGAAACGGCTACCACATCCAAGGAAGGCAGCAGGCGCGCAAATTACCCAATCCAGACAATGGGAGGTGGTGACGAAGAGTACCGGATGACTGAAGTAATTTTAGTCAGTCTGGAATGGAATCAATTTAAGCAATTGATTGAGTAACTACTGGAGGGCAAGTCTGGTGCCAGCAGCCGCGGTAATTCCAGCTCCAGTAGCGTGCCTCAAAGTTGCTGCGCTTAAAACGCTCGTAGTTGGATGAGAAACTACGCATCGGATAGTTATTATCTAGGCGAATGAGCTACATATTACGCATTACTGGGATGCTTTCAGCATTCAGTATGTATTGATATTAGTTTAACTAGTAATAACATATAACCGGTGTGTAGTAATTGCGTATGAGGATGACCATTGACCTTAAGTGTGTTGAAGGTCGTGTCTCATGGAATGTGCCTTGAGTAAATCAGAGTGCTCAAAGCAGGCGTGATGCCTGAATGTTGATAGCATGGAACGAACAAAAGTGTAGATGTGTATTGAACATGGTAGTTATTGTTTCGGCAGTATTCTACTACAATATACAACACCGACCGCCAATTACGGATGTTGGTTCCGTATTGGGGTACTGATTAAGAGGAGCGGTTGGGGGCATTGGTATTTGGCAGCGAGAGGTGAAATTCTTAGACCGGCGCAAGACGGACGAAAGCGAAAGCATTTGCCAAGAATGTTTTCATTAATCAAGAACGAAAGTCGGAGGTTCGAAGACGATCAGATACCGTCCTAGTTCTCACTGTAAACTATGCCGACCCGGGATTAGTCCAAAGCCTTAATAATACGGCTTGGGTTGGTCCCCCTGGGAAACCTTAAGTTTTTCGGTTGCGGGGGGAGTATGGTCGCAAGGCTGAAACTTAAAGGAATTGACGGAAGGGCACCACCAGGGGTGGAGCCTGCGGCTTAATTTGACTCAACACGGGAAACCTCACCCGGCCCGGACACGGAAAGGATTGACAGATTGATAGCTCTTTCTCGATTCTGTGGGTGGTGGTGCATGGCCGTTCTTAGTTCGTGAAGTGATTTGTCAGGTTAATTCCGGTAACGGACGAGATCACAGTCTCCATTTGACGAGCTGGAGTAATCGTAGATTGTCGATATTTGTAGCAATACAGGTGTCGGATTTATCTGCGTTGTTGGTAAGATGCAGGAGGTAGTGAAGTGATTGGTGGCATCTTCGGGTGTTGTCAGTTGCAACGCTATCGATTTTGCGTTTTCCCTCCAGTCAAACAGTGTTCAGCTTTTAGTTGTGCGCTGTATCATGGAGAGACAACGGTATATAATAAAAATCCGAGGAAGTGTGGCTATAACAGGTCTGTGATGCCCTTAGATGTTCTGGGCTGCACGCGCGCTACAATGGCGACGACAACGAGTGTCTGAATCGAAAGATTTGGGTAATCTTATAATCGTCGCCGTGATGGGGATTGACGTTTGTAATTACGTCATGAAAGAGGAATCCCTAGTACGTGCGATTCATTAAATCGCGCGGATTTAGTCCCTGCCCTTTGTACACACCGCCCGTCGCTACTACCGAGTGAATGGTGTCATAATGCCTTGGGAGCGGACATCGTTTGAGCCTTGTGTTCAATTTGATGCTGCGATCAGCGTAGAATGGCGCAATTTCGAGGAAGTAAAAGTCGTAACAAGGTTTCCGTAGGTGAACCTGCGGAAGGATCATTGATGTTTATAAACAATAACAATTGTGTTATTGAGCTTATATATACATTTTCACATAACACTTCTCGAATGATGAGAGACGATCGCAGAGCAGTCATCATTGTTATGTGATACGTTAAAAACCAAAGACGATCGTTGTATGTTGCGTACCAGATTGCGTTGACACTATATCGAGTCAGTTTAACATCGAGATTGTTAAGCATGTGGGTGTGGTGAATGATGTGAGCTGGTATGTTTTTATAGTTGTATAGCTGTTGTTTTAATGTTTGGGAAATTCGAATTGATAAAATTTATACAACCATTAACGGTGGATCACTCGGCTCGAGGTTCGATGAAGAACGTGGC